GTAAAGTAAAAGGACACAAGTGCAACTAATGTGACATTTTATTGTGGCAACGTTTCACTCTCCAGGAGCTTTATCAAGCCATTACAAACAATACATGGACACAGAGGGTATATAAAGGCTCAGAGTGAGGTGCAGTACTAGTGAGGTACCATTTAGATGTTCACTAGTGGTAGTAGTAGTAGTAGTAGTAGTGACAAAAGTAGTAGTAGTAATACAATATGGTAGAGCAATTAATTCGTACATGAGTAAAAGGATATAAAAGCTATTACTTGGGTAACATAAAAATAGGTTGGACAAATATAGACTGGAAAGAGGCAGCCTGTTTCAGTGTTCACTCTCTGTAATGTGCTTTGTGTAGTATAACAGGAGAGACTATGTGATGGCAGGGTTTACTGTTTTCAGGAGGATTCATGCTAAGACTTCAGAGATGGTGAAGCTGCCGTTGTTTTGTTTAATTGTATTCGAAACAGCGATCAGTGCTGATTCGAGGCACTTGCGTCTGCGGAAATTAGTTTCTTTAATCACTAATTGGGCGTCTCTGAATTTCATGAGATGATTGGTAGAATTTCGATGTTGTACACAGGCGTTGCTCAAGTTATCGTTCCTACATGAGTAAATGTGTTCATTGAGGAGGGTGTCGAGGTTTCTTGCTGTTTCACCTATGTAAATCTTGTCACAGCCTCCACAGGGTATAGTGTAAACTCCTGCGTTGACTGGTTCGTGGTGCTTGGATTTTGTTCTGGTTAGATCCTTTATTGAAGTGCTAGAAGCGATGGCGACTCTGGTGTTAGCTTGTGAAAGTACTTTTGAAACGTTCAGTGCAACCTGGCTGTTGGGAAGAATTGTAACTTTGTTGGGAGTGGTGTTGGTGCATGGAGAATTAATGATCTGAAGAGCTCTTTTCTTGCAGTCTTTGATGAAAAAGGAAGGAAAATGTAGCTCAGTGAATGTTTGGTGAATGTATGTACATTCCTCGTCAAGAAACTCAGGACTACAAATTCGGCATGCTCTTAGGAAAAACCCGATGATGATGCCTCTTTTGGTCTTGGTATCTTGACTGGAATAGAAGTGTGTGAGATCATTTTTATTGGTGGGTTTCCGATAAACTTGAAATCTTAGGTTGTTGTTTACTTTGTGAATGAGGACGTCGAGGAAAGGTAGCTTGTCATTGGACTCTTCTTCTAGTGTAAACTGGATTGCCGGTTCAACTGCATTGAGCCTTGCTTGAAGATTCCGTACATCAAAACGTTTGGGAGTTATTACGAGGACGTCGTCCACGTAACGTAACCAAGTGACGCTTGAAGGGATGATGTTGGCGAAGTGTTTGGACTCTAAGTGTTCCATGTATAAGTTGGCTGGGACGGCACTGATGGGGGACCCCATTCCCATGCCTGTCATACTCAACACCAGTGACTACAACACTAAAATGATGGACCTTTTGAATGATCAATCTACATACGAACCCATCAGCACTCAACAGTGGGAGATGCTCACCAAAGACTTTCTATACAAAACCAGACAAATACTCAAACGCACTAGAGAAGGGAAGAAACTTCTGTACTTGTTACCAAGCAACCCTAAACCAGCACACATGTATGGTTTACCCAAGACCCATAAACACACTATTCCTCTCAGACCAATCACGTCAGGAATAGGCAGTGCTCCACACAAACTAGCCGGAGTTCTTGCCAAACATCTTTCCTGCCTTCTGGGGACCATCAGCCCCGCTCATCTTAAACACTCAGGCGACCTTCTCAACCACATCCGAAACCTCTCCATCCATAACAAGAAACTAAGCAGTTTGGATGTGACTTCCCTCTTCACAAAAGTACCTACCAAAAAAGCCATCGAGGTTCTACGACGTAAAGTCAATCAGGACTAAATCTTCCTGTACCTCCCGGAGATTTTGTTGACTTGATTGAACTCTGTGTTAATTTCAACTGTGTTTCTTTCAATAACAAGCTCTACAAACAAACCTACGGCATGGGAATGGGGTCCCCCATCAGTGCTGTCCTAGCCAACTTATACATGGAACACCTAGAGTCCAAACACTTGGCCAACATCATCCCTTCAAGCGTCACTTGGTTACGTTACGTGGACGACGTCCTCGTAATAACTCCCAAACGTTTTGATGTACGGAATCTTCAGGCAAGGCTCAATGCAGTTGAACCGGCAATCCAGTTTACACTAGAAGAAGAGTCCAATGACAAGCTACCTTTCCTCGACGTCCTCATTCACAAAGTAAACAACAACCTAAGATTTCAAGTTTATCGGAAACCCACCAATAAAAATGATCTCACACACTTCTATTCCAGTCAAGATACCAAGACCAAAAGAGGCATCATCATCGGGTTTTTCCTAAGAGCATGCCGAATTTGTAGTCCTGAGTTTCTTGACGAGGAATGTACATACATTCACCAAACATTCACTGAGCTACATTTTCCTTCCTTTTTCATCAAAGACTGCAAGAAAAGAGCTCATCAGATCATTAATTCTCCACGCACCAACACCACTCCCAACAAAGTTACAATTCTTCCCAACAGCCAGGTTGCACTGAACGTTTCAAAAGTACTTTCACAAGCTAACACCAGAGTCGCCATCGCTTCTAGCACTTCAATAAAGGATCTAACCAGAACAAAATCCAAGCACCACGAACCAGTCAACGCAGGAGTTTACACTATACCCTGTGGAGGCTGTGACAAGATTTACGTAGGTGAAACAGCAAGAAACCTCGACACCCGCCTCAATGAACACATTTATGCATGTAGGAACGATAACTTGAACAATGCCTGTGTACAACATCGAAATTCTACCAATCATCTCATGAAATTCAGAGACGCCCAATTAGTGATTAAAGAAACTAATTTCCGCAGACGCAAGTGCTTCGAATCAGCACTGATCGCCGTTTCGAATACAATTAAACAAAACAACGGCAGCTTCACCATCTCTGAAGTCTTAGCATGAATCCTCCTGAAAACAGTAAACCCTGCCATCACATAGTCTCTCCTGTTATACTACACAAAGCACATTACAGAGAGTGAACACTGAAACAGGCTGCCTCTTTCCAGTCTATATTTGTCCAACCTATTTTTATGTTACCCAAGTAATAGCTTTTATATCCTTTTACTCATGTATGAATTAATTGCTCTACCATATTGTATTACTACTACTACTATTGTCACTACTACTACTACTACTACCACTAGTGAACATCTAAATGGTACCTCACTAGTACTGCACCTCACTCTGAGCCTTTATATACCCTCTGTGTCCATGTATTGTTTGTAATGGCTTGATAAAGCTCCTGGAGAGTGAAACGTTGCCACAATAAAATGTCACATTAGTTGCACTTGTGTCCTTTTACTTTACATATTGTTGGTAATTCTACCAACTTTATTACAAAGCAATCATAGTACTAGGGAGAGAGAGCACAACTTTGTAGTACCCACAGTCAGTGGCCAGGCTTCAAACACCTTTTATTGTACAGCAATAAAGGAATGGAACAGCCTGCCTGTACATATCAAAGCCAGTCATAGCATGAGCCAGTTCAAGAGAGCCAAAAGGTGCCTAATGAATGTAGCAAAAGAAAGGGAGGAGAATTATTTTTTATTTTTTATTTTTTTAGCTAACACACGTATAAATATAACTAACTCATTTTACCTATTCCTAGTAAATCTCCTTTACAGTATAATAAGATATTATCTCCTTTATAGTATAATAATAAGGTATTAAAAGGGCCCCAATGGAAATAAGTCACCTTGACTTTTTTGGGTTATCCTAGGTTCTCTACAAATATGCTGCTATGCATGATAATCTATGTAACTGTACTTGTGTATACCTGAATAAACTTTCTTGATTATTTGAAGGTCATGCCCCATCTCAACAATGCAAACCCTTGCAGCAGTGGTACTCTTGGGAAATGCAAGAGTATCACAGTTTTGTTGATTACGACAACAATGTTCATGTTGGATTTATGCAAAACAAGGTACTGGATGTAACCTGCTAGGTGGGGAGGGCAAGACAATGATCAATGTGGCTAACGCGACGGGCTGGAGTTTTGAGACTCTATGACCGCGGGTTCAATCCCGGCCGGGGGTATGGTTTGATGGTTTACAATGATCAATATTGGTGTTTTACCTGGGAGTGGTGTGGATGAGTAAGGCTTTCTTTCTGCAGGTGTAGATGTTATGTAGTGAGAACTTAGGTGCTGTGATAGCATCCTCAAAGTATTTCTGTTCCTCTTCATAGGTTTTTTTCTCTGCATCCTCAAGGTTGGTAATAAAGAATTCCTTGAGTAGCAGAAATATATTGAGGATGCCTCCATGTTCACAGCCCTTAACTTGCTCCCTGACATTCTCTCGAGTAAAAATAAGAAAGCCTTGCTCATCTACGCCACTTTCAGAAAAATGTCAATATTGATTACTGTCTTGTCCTTTCAGGACAGGTTGCCTCCAGTATCACACCATCTTCCATAAAGCCAATATGGACACTGCTGTCAAAGAGCAAAATCATGAAAGACATCACCAGACCTTGCAGACCCAAGTGTACCAATGCTGCAGGAGTTTACAGCATTCTGTGTAGGGGATGTAGAAAGGATTTTATCAGCAAGACAGCATGACATTCAGACTCGCCTGCAGGAATGAATGTGCTGTCAGGATGGACAATGTCACTAACACATACGTCATTCACTCCAATCTACACTCACATATTATGAATTATGGAACAGTACTGTTGTATCAGGATGACACCAAATGGAAAATTATAGAAGCAACCTTTATTTGACACAGTCAAATAAAACAAGGGAATGTACAAAATGAAAGATTCCATTGCTAATATTGCACATGGTCCACATAGTCGATATAATAAAAATGTTTCCTATATGCCCGAGTTCCCCTTACCTATTCAGTTTGTTTGGAATAATGATCATTGTTTATTCAGCAATGAAATGTGGTAAGAAATGACATTTTGTTAACTCTAATGTAAATACAGAATGAACACACCTCCTCTTCCTCCTCCTCCTGCCTCATTACTACAGTTGGAGTGTTAGGACGTTCTGAGTAATTAGATCGAGGCCCACCATCAGACATGCCACCAGGAGTGTTGGCTGGAGGATGTGACCCATCATATCCAGGATTCTCCGAAGGAGGCTGAGTCTGTCAGATAGAATAATCTTTAAATATATACAACAGAACTGAGTTCCTAGTGTAAATAAAATATTGAATGAAATAAGGGTTTTGTTTAATGGTTATAACACTAAGCTGCAAAAATTATATTAACCTTCATATAAAAATTATGAATAAAAACAAATGAAAAAATTGGAACAATATAAAAGAAATGTTGTAAATAAAATCATGACTGATGTGTAACATCCTACCTCCATGTATCCGTAATTCTCCATCTCAGCGTGCATAGGACTCCGGAATGGTGTGGTGTGCGCTGGAGTCTGGTTAAAGCATTTAACAAATTCAGTGCAAAATAAAATATAAGAAATAAAGAGCATTTAAATCATTACCTGAATGAATCCCATGCACTTCATCCTTTGAAGTGGTGATGGTAATCCATATGAATGGCAGAGAAACTGAACAGACCAAAACACTAATATAGTTCTTCTCTATAAAAATAGTGCATGCAAATGGAGTAATTCTGTACTATTATAAGTACAGTATGATCATAGGAGAAAAAACTTATACTAGCATCTATGACTTAACAGTTGCAATACATGTGGAATTATATCAACCTTTCAAACATTCCCCACTTATTTAGCTTTTTATACTGACAACTCATGCCGCAATATATTTGGTAATCAGCTTCATTTTTTCTGTCTAAATTGCCATGCCAACAAAAATTTTGCATGAACCTTACACTCCCTCCCCACCTCAAAATTTACAGGACGAGACTGTATTAATCAGATTTCAGGTACATCTTGCTAATTCAACTACACTTTAGTCACACTAAGCATGCACGAACAAGCATATACAGTGGACCCTCGGATAACGCCTTTAACCCTTTCAGAGTTTCTGCCGTACTAGTACGGCTTATGCACCAGGGTTTTTGACGTACTAGTACGCCTAAATTCTAGCGCCCTCAAATCTAGTGAGAGAAAGCTGGTAGGCCTACATATGAAAGAATGGGTCTATGTGGTCAGTGTGCGCAGTATAAAAAAAAATCCTGCAGCACACAGTGCATAATGAGAAAAAAAAACTTTGACCGTGTTTTTGGATTAAAACAGAGACTTTGCACTGTATTTTCGTATGGTATTTATTGTTGTATTCTACTTTTCCTGGTCTCATTTTATAGAATGGAAGACATATTACAGAAATTGAGATGATTTTGACTGATTTTACAATGAAAAGTACCTTGAAATTGAGCTCAAAGTAACAGGAATGTTCGATTTTTACCAAAGTTCAAAAGTAAACAAATCATGCTAAGCATCCAATATGCATCAACTGGTGAGTCTAATATTCTTTCACAAGTGCGCCGATATTATTTATACCATTTTTTACACTAATGCAGTAGTCTGCATAACACTAAATCTTCTATTTTTTGTGAGAATAAAAATTCAAAGCGGAAAGCAAAAGAATGTAAGAGGGGCATTGGGACGTGACTAAAGAACAGAGGAAATGTCATTTTAGTGCCAGGAATGTCTTTCTTGTTAATTTTGGACCCTATTTGGAAATTGGCATCTTTTGAAATTTGTGTGAAATTGGCAAAATTACTAAATTCTGACCACTGTATTGGATAGTTGAAATCGGTAAATGGTGGTTTCTTGCGCTTATTCGATAGAAAAGATGGATTTCTAGTGAAATATCATGATTTTTGAAGACTAGTACAGTGGAATTGGCCGAAAATAGGGCTCAAAGTGGGCAAAATCGCCGATGCATAAACATCGTCGAGACCGCTAACTTCACGAGAGCATAATTCCTTAAGTTTTCCATCAAATTTGATACTTTTGGTGTCATTATGATCGGGAAAATATTCTCTATCTTTTCATAAGAAAAAACATTTTTTTTTTTTTTTTAAATTTGGGCGACCCTGAGAACAAGTCTCTGAGAGGGCCTGTCGACCCTGAAAGGGTTAATTCATTCCAAAGAGCTAGGCTTTAACCAAATTAATTTTCCCCATGAGAAATAATGGAAATCCAATTAATCTGTTCCAGACACCCAAAAGTATTAAACAAAATAATTTTTTTACAGGAAATATACATTTCCCTACACAGAAAACAATGATACATGCACAATAAAACAATAATAACATCACACTTACCCATATTGTGGACTTGTTGATGAGTGGTGAGATGGTAGGACTGCAGAGGATGCAGGTGTTATATTGTTTGGAAGTGGAATCCCCTTCCATAAAGACTTCAGGTAACAAGTCTTTTTCTGGGGTTACCTCCCAGTGACTCAAGCTGGTCCAAGTGGCATTAAAAAACAAAGAAGGGATTTTTTTTTTAAACCTCCCTTCTTTGTTTTTTAATGTCACTTGGACCAGCTTGAGAGTCACTGGGCCCCTGTCGTGCAAAATATCTGTCCAGAGAGCTCTGTTTCTCGCGTCTCTTTAAGATTTCCCTAAAATGGGCCACAAGAGTGTCATTGTACAAGTTGCCAATACAGCTTGCAACAGCTGTGTCAGGATAATATTCATCCATAAATGCTTGCAACTTTGTAAACATTGTACACATTTCCTTAATCTTTGACGAAGGCAACTTCCTCCGTCTCTCTTCGTCGTCCTCCTCTGAAGGAAATCCCTGAGCTTTGGTCTGTTACACATAAAGCTCTTGCAGCTCTGTAGTGGTTAGCTCTTCAACGTCGTCCTCCACCAACGCTTCCACATCCTCGCCACTAACCTCCAACGCCATGGACTTCCCCAATGCCACAATAGATTCCACAACTGGCACAGGCTCCTTAGGGTCAGCCCCAAACCTTTCAAAATCCCTCTCTTGTACACATTCTGGCCACAATTTTCTCCAAGAAGAGTTCAAAGTCTTGCAAGTCACTCTCTCCCAAGCCTTACCTATAAGGTTTATGCAACTGAGGATAATGAAGTGATCTTTCCAGAGCTCTCTTAGGGTCAATTCAGTGTCTGAGGTCACTTCAAAGCACTTTTGAAACATTGCTTTGGTGTACAGTTTTTTGAAATTTGAAATGACCTGCTGGTCCATGTGCTGGAGGAGAGGAGTGGTATTAGGAGGCAAAAACTTCACTTGATGAAGCTCAACTCCCCTGCAATTTGCTCTTGCAGGTTATGAGGATGAGCAGGAGCATTGTCCATTACCAGGAGGCACTTGAGTTCCAATTTATTTTCCAGGAGGTACTGTTTCACAGTGGGGCCAAACACGTCATAGAACCAGTCAGTAAACATGTCTCTAGTGGCCTATGCCTTACTGTTTGCTCTCCACATCACACACAATTAAGTCTTGACGATACTGTTTTTCATGAACACACTAGGAGTTTCAGAATGATACACGAGTAAAGGCTTCGCTTTGCAATCCCCACTAGCATTACTACACAACATTAAAGTAACCCTGTCTTTCATAGGCTTGTGTCCTAGGAGTGCCTTTTCCTCCTGAATAATGTACGTCCTGTTTGGCATTTTCTTCCAAAACAGGCCTGTTTCGTCACAATTGAACACTTGTTGGGGTTTTAATTTTTCAGTGTCTATGTACTGCTTAAAGTCCTGCACATATTTTTCAGCCACTTTTTTGTCAGAACTGGCAGTCTCACCATGCCTTATCACACTGTATGCCACTACAATTCTTAAATCTCTCAAACCAGCCTTTGCTGGCCTTAAATTCATCAACAGCAGCACTCTTTGGAGGCATTTTCTTAATGAGTTCCTCATGCAACTGCTTTGCCTTTTCACACATTATTGGCTGAGAAATACTATCTCCAGATAATTGTTTCTCGTTTATCGACACCAATAACAGTCTCTCCACATCTTTGAGTATTTGCGATCTCTATTTTGTAAGCACACTTGCACCTTTTGCAACAACAGCTTCTTTGATTGCCTTTTTGTTGTGCAAGATAGTAGTGATGGTTGAATGGGGGTTTGTTGTATAACTTTTCCAACTCCAAGATACGCACTCCACTCTCGTACTTTTCTATTATCTCCTTTTTTAATTCGATAGCGCACCTCACCCTTTTTAACACAGGGTTGGCACTAGAAGCTTTCTTTGGACCCATGGTGGCTTATTTAGCAGTTAGAAGCACTAAAAGCAATGGAATAATACAAAATATATCGCATGTACGCATGGAATCGTCCTTACTGGCTTGTACACAATGGCACACTGGCTGGTACATGGGGAGAGTGGCCGGGCCCACTCAGAGCGCCATGCAGACACGTTCAGGGCGAAAGCTTCTAACCGAGTTTTTAGGCATTATCCGAGCCAATTTTTTTACGCTAAAGCGAGGCGTTATCCGATTTTGGCATTAGCCGATGCAGGCGTTATCCGAGGGTCCACTGTATATATACACACACTCCCCTCTGGGCTTTGTTCTATTTTCTTACTAGATCTTGTTGTTTATTTCCCCTTACCTTCATGGGGAAGTGAAATACAATTCTTCCTCCATAAGCCATGCGTGTCGTAAGAGGCGACTAAAATGCCAGGAGCAAGGGGCTAGTAACCCCTTCCCCTGTATACACTACTAAAGTTAAAAAGAGAAACTTTCGTTTTTTGGGGGAGTCACCCTGCTTCAGTGGGATATGGCCGGTTTGTTGAAAGAAGAAGACTGTATGAATCATCAATTAAGAATATGCTGACCTAGTTGCAGACTATTCTTCTGTTAAGATGAAAGTTCCAGATGTAGATAGTGTCATTATTAGCTACATAAACTATGTACAAGTTGTCAATTTGTTGCAAAGATGTGCTGACTAACACTGCCCCTCATTCACCACTACCAACACTGCCAGGTAAACCGAGTCCCATTTCACAACACAGGGGAATTCATGCACAAGCCATCAAGTTTAGATCGTTGTCACTGTTGTCAATCACTAGTAAATTGTTAAAAACCAAATGTTACGAAAAGTCTGCATTTTTTTTTTAACCCTTTGAGGGTCCGTCCCGTAGATCTACGGCTTTACGTTCAGGGTCCAAACCGTAGATCTACGTCATGAGCTCAGCTCACTCTGATAAACTGCGAGTGGTACATTTGGGCCTAGATATGAAAGAATACATCTATGTGGTATGTGTGCACCACATAAAACAGATCCTGCAGCACGCTGTGTATAATGAGAGAAAAAACTGAAATCATGATTTTTCGATTAAAACAGCGACTTTGCAGTGTTTTTTCGTATGTTTTTTATAGTTCTATTTGCGATTTCTTGGTCTCATTTGATAGAATGGAAGGCATATTACAGAAATAAAGATGATTTTGATTGGTTTTACCACTGGAAATGGCTTGAAACTGAGCTCAAAGTAGCAGAAATGTTAAATTTTTGCCGATATTCAAGAGTAAACAAACGACCTCACACGTCTAATACACGCCAGCTGGTGGGTCTAATGTGCATTCACAAATATGGTGATGATATTTATACAATTATTACAGTATTGCATAACAGTAAATCTTCTATTTTTTGATGTGAATAAAAAATCAAAATGGAATTTATTTGTAAAGCTTCAAAACGTAACTAATGAACTGAGGAAATGTTAGTTTAGTTCCAGGAATACCTACATTGTTTATTCTGGACCCTATTTTGAAATTGGAATATTTTGAACTTTGTGTTAAATTGGCCAAATTAACAATTTCCGATCACTTTAATTTGTAGTTGAAACAGTTGACTTGGCGATTTCTTGTGCTCAATCGATAGAATAGAAGTAATACTAGTGAAATAGCTAAGAATTTGGTTGACTGGAATAATGTAATTGGCCTAAAATGGGAGTCAAAGTCGGCAAAATCTCCGATTCGTAAATATCGCTGACACATCAAAATTTGCGAGAGCATAATTTCATCAATTTTCCATCAAATTTCGTACGTTTTGTTTTATTACCTTCACAAAAAGATTCTCTACCATTTCATAAGAAAATTTTTTTTTTTTTGAAAATTCTTGGACACTGGGGCACCACTTCAGATTTGGGCCTTGGACCCTGAAGGGGTTAAATATAGACTGCTATTCTGTGGCCATCAAAGTGGTTAACAGACAAGATTACTCCATGGCTGATCTCATGCTGAACCTCTCCACTACAAATGAATGAAAACAAGATCAGTTATGAAACTGCCTGGAGCCTTTGACTAGATATTGTACCATAGCCTCATGGCAAAAACCCAAGCACTAAAAATCTCTGAAACCATTTTGCACCACCTGAGTGACTGTCTTCAAGGTTTACCTCTTTAGGTAGTTAATAATGGAGCAGTGCTTGCAAGTCATCTAATTAAGGTCAGTATACTACAGGGTAGTAGTTCCTTGCTTTAAATTGCCTTCTTCAACAAACCTACTTAACCTCATCCCTGCATCTCATGCCTATGATGACTGATTAAATAAATCCTCTATATAACAAACTAATTGTGGGGAAGCAGGCTGTCGGTAATGGCAACTGTGGTGGATTAAAAGACTGTCTTGCCTTGATTGTGACAATAATGGGCAATTCAGCAACCAATGAATTTTGTATACTGTTTTCAAATCTACTGACCCAGCAGATTTTGTTCCACATTTCCAAAGTCCATTAAATGGAGGGTTTTCTGCATTGACTTAAGCAGGAGAATTGCACATTGTTCTGATGCACATCAACCATCAACTTGCAGCAATACCTGCCTGAACAGGCAATAATATTGATCTCAAAGTAAAAATTGTTTTTGCTGCTCTTTAAAGGTTTCATGGTATTAACAAAACTACATGAAGTACAATGAATGACAAGAAACATTTAGCAGGATGAAGTAAAAAGCTTGCAAGAACATAAATGGAAACCACAATACATATTTTCAAATTACCCAATTCACTTAACACATTTCATGCAAATTTTTCTATAAACTGGCTTAATCATTTGCTTGAAGTGAAACACAAGGATTTGTGACAAATTATCCAGTCCAACCTGATATGAAACATGTATTCTATCCTCTGGGAACTCAGACATTTGAAGCAGCATATTGCACATTTCATATATTTTTTTTACAAAATGGGTTGAGCATTTACTTGAAGTGAAACAAGGATGCACAGAAAGAATAAGATCTGACTTAGAAGCAGTGACGAGACAATACTAAAACTTGCCAATACCGATACTAAATTTTAGGCAGACACCAATACATCAACCAACATATAGACTAGGCAGTTGAATAAAAAGGAATACACAGGCATAAGGGAACAAGTGGCTAGAATAACCCCTTCTGTATATTTATTATTTTTTTTTTATTATCACACTGGCCGATTCCCACCAAGGCAGGGTGGCCCGAAAAAGAAAAACTTTCACCATCATTCACTCCATCACTGTCTTCCCAGAAGAGTGCTTTACACTACAGTTTTTAAACTGCAACATTAACACCCCTCCTTCAGAGTGCAGGCACTGTACTTCCCATCTCCAGGACTCAAGTCCGGCCTGCCGGTTTCCCTGAACCCCTTCATAAATGTTACTTTGCTCACACTCCAACAGCACGTCAAGTATTAAAAACCATTTGTCTCCATTCACTCCTATCAAACACGCTCACGCATGCCTGCTGGAAGTCCAAGCCCCTCGCACACAAAACCTCCTTTACCCCCTCCCTCCAACCTTTCCTAGGCCGACCCCTACCCCTCCTTCCTTCCACTACAGACTGATACACTCTTGAAGTTATTCTGTTTCGCTCCATTCTCTCCACATGTCCGAACCACCTCAACAACCCTTCCTCAGCCCTATGGACAACAGTTTTGGTAATCCCGCACCTCCTCCTAACTTCCAAACTACGAATTCTCTGCATTATATTCACACCACACATTGCTCTCAGACATGACATCTCCACTGCCTCCAGCCTTCTCCTTGCTGCAACATTCATCACCCATGCTTCACACCCATATAAGAGCGTTGGTAAAACTATACTCTCATACATTCCCCTCTTTGCCTCCAAGGACAAAGTTCTTTGTCTCCACAGACTCCTAAGTGCACCACTCACCCTTTTCCCCTCATCAATTCTATGATTCACCTCATCTTTCATAGACCCATCCGCTGACACGTCCACTCCCAAATACCTGAATACATTCACCTCCTCCATACTCTCTCCCTCCAATCTGATATCCAATCTTTCATCACCTAATCTTTTTGTTATCCTCATAACCTTACTCTTTCCTGTATTCACTTTCAATTTTCTTCTTTTGCACACCCTACCAAATTCATCCACCAATCTCTGCAACTTCTCTTCAGAATCTCCCTTCTGTATAATTTACTAAATTATTTTTTTAGGTCACCCTGCCTCGGTGGGATACGGTCGATTTGTTAGGGGGGGGGGGGAAGCATAAGGAAAAAGACAGAATGAGGGAAACTGTATTAACTTCAAGGAAGATATGAATATAGGAAAAATGTAACAGACAACCAAGTATTGATGCAGTGCAGAGAAAGGGTATGCCATTTACTTTCCCATCATTTGTGCTAATAATAATATATATTAATCTGAAGTTCAATTATTAAACCTTGGTTAATAGAAGTATTAGTTTAACAAATCAAACCTGATTATCAGCATCCTGTATCCAAAGAATTGGACAGAACAATAAACTGAAGAAATTATTTACAAAATGGCATGCCAAGGCTTATAGCAAATTAGGTAAATTATTAAATTATTCATAATGGTTACTAAAGAAAAATTACTAGAAAAACACAATATAAAAAAAGAGAAAAACAACACATTAAAAATCTGCATTCTCGGGGTAAAAGAATAACATACAGCCGAGAAATGTTAGTTGTCAGACTTGCAACATATCCAGCACATACCTGGTTTGCATCAACGCTCTCCACCTGTGGTTGGGCTGGACTTCGAAAGGATGCATTTGGTGCTGATGTTTGGTCAACATTCAAATCTTGATTTGTGGGTACTGGTTCATTAACAGCTGGAGTTTGTGGTGGGTTAATTTCAGGCTGCTGAAGTAGAGAAAGCTTTCAGTGACTCACAAAATTAGACCTAAAATCAAAGCAATATATCTACTGGACACAATGCAAACAGGTAAAGTATGTAATAACACCTAAATGGAAGCGCACACACAGTTGAACATTTTTACTAAAGGGGATCTTGCAGATAGCTTCAATTAATTGCATTTTTGCATTGTCCATTTTCTATTTGATTGGTGCAAGAATCCTAAGTTTAAAACTGATTATAGCTTTCAATCCAAATGTGCTCACTTGATTTCCCAGAGTTAAATCTATTTTCTTTATGACCATTCTTATATGTCAACACTGTCATGCCTAAAACCATTTTCTTGGGTTTATCCTTCTTGTGAAAATGAATCTGAGTGATATTTAAAGAAATGTGGCCATGGTACTCTAATAACTTAGGTTTACAGTTGTATATTTCATCCTTTTTTATGGCATTTATTCAAATAGATTAATTTTTTCTATATTTATTATGGGTATGTGTGATATGTATAGTACTCTTTTGATACAAATCAGTCATGAAATTAGTATTTTATAGCCAGACTTTGAGTCCTGGAAATGAGAAGTACAATGCCTGCACTCTAAAGGAGGGGTTCGGGACATTAGCAGTTTGGAGGGATATGTTGTGTATCTTTATATGTATATGCTTCTAAACTGTTGTGTTCTGAGCACCTCTGCAAAAACAGTGATTATGTGTGAGTGAGGTGAAAGTGTTGAATGATGGTGAAAGTATTTTCTTTTTGGGTCACCCTGCCTAGGTGGGAGACGGCCAACTTGTTAAAAAAAAAAAATCTTCTTCTGCCTGAGCACAACCTATAAATTAAAAACCACAAGACTGCAGTTAGAATGTGTTCACTGGATTTCCCATGCCCATATCTATCTTTCTTAACTTTTTTTTTTTTACAGAAAATCAATATTAACCACATTAGAACAATACTGAAGAAGAAGAAAAAAAAAAAACATGGTATTGTTCCTGAAAACTTTTAAGGCATGTGCAAAATATAAAACAGGAAAAATTTCAATAATTGAGATATGTGAAATTTTGCATTATAAGCAAATTCAAGTTTCACAGAGCCTCCAGAAACCTAGCCCTTGAAAATTAAGATCAATGACACAAATTCCTTGCATCTTATTAAACTTTCTTTCAATATACAAACACTGCAAGAATGTCACTTGCAGGGGTCACATACTATTGTCTAAAAATATTTATGAAGTATTTATAGGTCCCAGCAATGTTTTAGACATGCTGGAATAAATATGAAACTCCTTGAAGCACAGTGTAAGACGAGTGTCACTCAGCTGCTGACAGTGCAGCAGTGGAGTGACACTTGATCATGCACTGCCTTGGCTTTATTTGTTTTCACTGTTACATATTGATAAATTAGACAGATGTGCAACACTTGGGTATCTTCATTAATAAAGATACCCAAGTGTTGCATGTGTCTAATTTATCGACTTATCGGTTCTCTCAACCATCCATCTACACTGTTACATATAAACATGTCTGTCTGTCTCTGTCTAGCATCTTTGTTTATCTCTATCTCTGCTTATCTGTCTTTCTGTCTGCCTGTGTGTGTATTCCTGTCTCTGTCTGCTTGTCTCTCTTTCTGTCTCAGAGAGAGGGTCGCTTATGAACCAACAAGTATTACACATGAAACGGAGTCGTCATGTCTGAATCCTGAACAAGTGAAAATGCGTATTACCTGCCAGTCATGCTTATTATGCCTGAGTTTTGTGGCTTTGAGATGAATGTGACCACAAGTGGTTGAAGAAATATTAAAAACCTCAATAACCCATGTGCAACATTTGTGCCACATCCTTTCAATTTTGATACCACTGGTAGTGTCATCCTACCAGAACGATTCTGGAACATGTAATACAGTTTGGAAGGCCAGCTGGCTGAGTGGCTAGCTGGATAGCTGGCTGATTGGCTGTTTCTATCTCTGCTTGTCTGTATCTATCTCTGTCTATCTCTCACAAGTACACATAAGTACAGTTATCATAGTGTAAATTACCTAGGATAACCCAAATAATCCAGACAGTGTCATACTGTGCTTGTAGATATAACACAGAATATGCACGACTGGCAAGTACAGTGGACCCCCGGATAATGATCAGCTCCCAACTCGACCAATTATGTAAGTTTATTTTTGTAAATGCTTTTGTAGGTGTATTTTTAGGGGTCTGAAATGGACTAATCTAATTCACAATATTTTTTTTTTTTTTTTTTATTATCACACCGGCCGATTCCCACCAAGGCAGGGTGGCCCGAAAAAGAAAAACTTTCACCATCATTCACTCCATCACTGTCTTGCCAGAAGGGTGCTTTACACTACAGTTTTTAAACTGCAACATTAACACCCCTCCTTCAGAGTGCAGGCACTGTACTTCCCATCTCCAGGACTCAAGTCCGGCCTGCCGGTTTCCCTGAATCCCTTCATAAATGTTACTTTGCTCACACTCCAACAGCACGTCAAGTATTAAAAACCATTTGTCTCCATTCACTCCTATCAAACACGCTCACGCATGCCTGCTGGAAGTCCAAGCCCCTCGCACACAAAACCTCCTTTACCCCCTCCCTCCAACCCTTCCTAGGCCGACCCCTACCCCGCCTTCCTTCCACTACAGACTGATACACTCTTGAAGTCATTCTGTTTCGCTCCATTCTCTCTACATGTCCGAACCACCTCAACAACCCTTCCTCAGCCCTCTGGACAACAGTTTTGGTAATCCCGCACCTCCTCCTAACTTCCAAACTACGAATTCTCTGCATTATATTCACACCACACATTGCCCTCAGACATGACATCTCCACTGCCTCCAGCCTTCTCCTCGCTGCAACATTCATCACCCACGCTTCACACCCATATAAGAGCGTTGGTAAAACTATACTCTCATACATTCCCCTCTTTGCCTCCAAGGACAAAGTTCTTTGTCTCCACAGACTCCTAAGTGCACCACTCACTCTTTTTCCCTCATCAATTCTATGATTCACCTCATCTTTCATAGACCCATCCGCTGACACGTCCACTCCCAAATATCTGAATACGTTCACCTCCTCCATACTCTCTCCCTCCAATCTGATATTCAATCTTTCATCACCTAATCTTTTTGTTATCCTCATAACCTTACTCTTTCCTGTATTCACCTTTAATTTTCTTCTTTTGCACACCCTACCAAATTCATCCACCAATCTCTGCAACTTCTCTTCAGAATCTCCCAAGAGCACAGTGTCATCAGCAAAGAGCAGCTGTGACAACTCCCACTTTGTGTGTGATTCTTTATCTTTTAACTCCACGCCTCTTGCCAAGACCCTCGCATTTACTTCTCTTACAACCCCATCTATAAATATATTAAACAACCACGGTGACATCACACATCCTTGTCTAAGGCCTACTTTTAGACAATATTTCTTATGGGAACAAATTCGGTCTATAACGGCACCCAAACAGACTTCTGGATTGAAAAAATATCGTTATGCGGGGGTCCACTGTAATATGCATTTTCACTTGTTCAGGAATTAGATGTGACAACTCTGCATCAGCATCATGTGTAATACCTGTTTGTTCATGAGTGGCTCTCTCTGAGACAAAAACAAGCAGAGAGACAGGAAGACACACACACAGTCAGACAGACAAGCAGACAGAGCTAGACAGACAAGTTTGTGTGTAACAGTGAGAATAAATAAAGCCAAGGTTCACATTGACCTTCATCTTTGAAGAGTTTAACTAATCTCGGAGCCCGGCCATGGGCCAGGCTCGTCTGGTGCTTGCCTGATCAACCAGGCTGTTGCTGCTGGAGGCCCACTGCCCCACATATCCATCACAGTCTGGTTGATCTGGCACCTGGTGAAGATACTTGTCCAGTTTCCTCTTGAAGGTTTCTACGCTACTTCCAGCCGTGTTTCTGATATCTTCTGGTAAGTTGTTGAATAGTCTGGGACCCTGGATGTTGATACAGTGTTCCCTTATTGTCCCCACCGCACCCCTGCTCCTCACTGGGTTTATTTTACACTTCCTCCCATATCTCTCACTCCAGCATGTTGTTATGGCAGTGTGCAGATTTGGGACCAGGCCCTTGAGTACTTTCCAAGTACAGTAGGGCCTAACTTATACAGCAGGTTAGGTTCCAGGCTACTGCCATAAAACAGAAATCGCCGTAAAGTGGAGCACCCTTCCCCCCCCCTTATAAATGCATATAAATACTAAATAAGTTTACACTAACATATATTAAGTTAGCAATAGAACTAGGCATCAAAAAAACAATAAAAAAGTAAAATACACACATAGTGCACTCATTACTTACCTTAAAATATTTGTAGTCTTAATCTAGGGTGAGACAAGTAGTATTTATTGTAAGAAATCAAGTGTGGTATGTATGGTAGTCAGCTGGGCTACCATACCAGGCCACCCCACCTACACATAATATTCTATTACATTTATGCATCCCAGAGCGATAAAATGCATATACAGTTCGCTCATTACTTACCTTAAAATATTTGTAGTCTTAATCAAGGGTGAGATGAGTAGTATTTATTATAAGAAATCAAGTGTGGTATGTATGGCAGTCAGCGGGGCTACCATACCAGGCCATTCTACCCACACATACTATTCTATGATATTTAAGCATCGCAGAGTGATAAAATGCATATACAGTTCACTCATTACTTACCTTAAAATATTTGTAGTCTTAATGTAGGGTCAGGGGTGAGTAAACATGATAAAACGAATAAATGAGAGAGAGAGAGAGAATGAGTACATGAGGGAGGACAGGCACAGAGTTATGTAAACAAACCAGGCAAACACAAGTTTTGTAAACAAACCAGGTGTACACGTCTGGTTTGTGTACAAGTTACATTGTGTACAAGTTGTGTCTACATTGATTTTTTTTCCAACAGATCAGCTGTATCCCACCGAGGCAGGGTGGCCCAAAAAAGAAAAACAAAAGTTTCTCTTTTTAAATTTAGTAATTTATACAGGAGAAGAGGTTACTAGCCCCTTGCTCCCAGCATTTTAGTCGCCTCTTACAACACGCATGGCTTAAGGAGGAAGAATTCTGTTCCACTTCCTCAGGGAGATAAGATAAAATAAACAAGAACTAGAAAGAAAATAGAAGAAAACCCAGAGGGGTATGTATATATGCTTGTACATGTATGTGTAGTGTGACCTAAGTGTAAGTAGAAGCAGCAAGAAGTACCTGAAATCTTGCATGTTCATTAGACAGAAAAAAGGACACCAGCAATCCTACCATCATGTAAAACAATTACAGGCTTTTGTTTTACACTCGCCTGGCAGGACGGTAGTACCTCCCTGGGCGGTTGCTGTCTACCAACCTACTACCTAGGCTCTACATTGATAAGGTAGAATAAATAAAGAGGAACACTCCCATTCTCATGTAACACCATTTTTAGAAGAAATGACACTCTGATTGAAGGCAATGGAAATAAGTCACTGACTTTTTTGGGTTATCCTAGGTTCTCTACACAAATGCTGTTATGTATGATAATCTATGTAACTGTATTTGTGTATACCTCAATAAACTTACTTACATACATACGAAAGGAATAATTTTCTACAGCTACCCCCAGTAATACATTTTCTCTGATGTTGGACTAGAGAAAATGTTATTCTTGACGTCACTCGTAAAAGTCTGGCTACCACATCTTATATTTATGTTTATTTATTCTATTGGGGGTGTATTTATCATCTTTATATGTTATGCATCGTGTTTATTATATAATTTTGAAAAAATATCGTAGATGGATTAATGAAAATATGTATATTAACGTAATATACGACATTTAATGAGACTCGGTGATTATTATTATCATTACTAACATGATGTCTTGAGATATAAGACACTTACTGATTTTAATGTGAACCTGCATGCCAGCACAGTATGTAAGTTTATTTAGGTACAGGTATACATAAGTATAATTATCAGAGTATATACAATATATGAAATAACTTTTAAAAACTCTTGAAATTTTGGAGTTTCCAGACATAATGGAGAGACTTAGTGCTTACGGATCTCAGAGAGAATGTAAACAAACCGAGTGGGGCACGGTGACCATACTAGAAAGTCAGGTGGGGGGAGCCGTATAGTGAGTTTTGGTCATAATTTGAAATGACCGTATTAGCGGAACGCCGTAAAGCGAAACGCCTTAAAGCGGGGCCCTACTGTATATATTATCATGTACGTATCTCTCCTCGCTTCAATGAGTACATGTTCAAGACTTGAAGGAGTTCCCAGTAATTTAGGTGATTTACTGGCTCAGTGCAAGCAGTAAACGATCTCTGTATTTGTTCCAGCTCTGACATTTCTCCTGCTTTGAATGGGGCCGTCAGCACTGAGCAATATTCTAAATGAAGGAGCACTAGCAATTTGAAGAGTGTCACCAATGGCATTATTTCCCTTGTTTTGAAAGTTCTCAATACCCACCTTGTCATCTTCCTGGCTGTTGTGTTCTTTGTCTTGTTATGTTCTTTAAAAGAAAGGTCCACTGACATAATTATTCCCAGGTCTTTTACATGTTAATTTTGTTCTATCTGGTGACCTTCTTGAATTTTGTATATAGTGTTCCTTTTGAGTTCTTCATTTTTCCATACCTAAGCAGCTGGAACTCATCACCACTGAATGTCACGTTGTTCTCCAATGCCCACTGGAAAACCCTGCTTATGACTTCCTGTAATTTTTGAGTGTCCTGTACTGTAGTCCTTTCATGCTTAGTGTCATCTGCAAATGATGATACAGAAGTGTGACAGGTGTTTTTATCTATGTCTGCTATGAAGATGAGAAACAGCAGAGGTGCCAGGACAGTGCCCTGGGGCACTGAGCTTTTGACCTCGCTGATGTTGGATCTTGCTCTGTTTACTACTTGCTGTGTTGTGTGTGTTAGTAACCCGAAAATCCATTTGCGTACCTTCCCTGTAGTGCCCATGGCCCTCATTTCGTGCGCGATCACTCCACGATTGCATTCGTCAAACGCCTTTGCAAAATCTGTGCAAATCACATCTGCGTTTTGGACTTCTTCCAATGCCTCCGTAATTCTGTCATAATGGTTCAGCAGCTGTGACAGGCATGATCATCCTGCTCTAAAACCATGCTGGTTCGGGTTATGCTGGTCCATGAAATTTGTAATCTGCCGTCTCATCACTCTTTCAAAGATTTTTATGATGTGAGAAGTTAGGGCTACTGGTCTAATTTTTATCTAGTGATCCACTACCTCCCTTATGCAAAGGAGCTATATCTGCACTCTTTAAGGCCTCCAGCACTTCACCTAGATCTAAGCTCTTTCTCCAAAGAATACTGAGGGCTCATACTAGTGGTACCTTTCACTTCTTTATAAATAGAGCATTCCATGAATCTGGTCCAGGTGCTGAGCATAAGCAGTGAAAATTTAGATCAACATTTGGAGAGTTTAAGGGTAAAAAAATGGTCCCCTTCTCTTCTACATAATCTAACCTGAGTCTCCTCACAAAATTTTTTTTACTTTTAAAAATCCCATTCCAAACATTGGCAACATCTGCCACATTGGTTCCCTATCAACCCTAAGAGATTTTTCTAAACCCATAAATGCAACATACAATTCTTTACACTTTTCTAGATACTGTTTACTTATATGCAATGTAAGCACTTCATCTACATGACCTCAACCCATCCTTAATCCTCTTGTTTCTCTGCAATCCTGTCTTCCCCCTAACTCTATTAATAATTTTATAATTCTACTGAACATTTTACCTAGTTTACTCAACAGACTTTTTACCCTATAATTCTTACACTTTCCTGTCCCCTTTCCTTATTCTTCTCCAATCGTTAGGTATCTACCCTTGTCACTGACACTGAATAAAAAGCAACAGGCTACTCAAAAAGTGCATCCCCACCTGTTTTTAACAACTGTCTTAATCCCATCTGCTATATCTCATTTCATTCCACCCACTGGTACATGTACTTTCCCCACACCCATCTCTGGCTCTTCCTCATTCCTGTGATACATTATTCCTCTCCTGGAAGAGATAGCTGGGTGATAAAAAAAAAAATGCTTCACAACCTAGAGCACTTGTTAGTCACAAACCCATCCTGTATCACACCTGGTGAGTACCTCTAAAATATCATAACACAAAAATGGCAGACACCATATTTCAACTACAGTGGACCCCCGCATAACGATCACCTCCGAATGCGACCAATTATGTAAGTGTATTTATGTAAGTGCGTTTGTACATGTATGTTTGGGGGTCTGAAATGGACTAATCTACTTCAAAATATTCCTTATGGGAACAAATTCGGTCAGTACTGGCACCTGAACATACTTCTGGAGTGAAAAAATATCGTTAACCGGGGGTCCACTGTACTTCCATCCACTCCCAAATGTATTTAGAAACATATTCTGGGGGATTTCATTGATCCCCAATATTTAAACATATTGATAGATATATAAACCCTTAGATAATATACCTCTTCAAGTGTGATTATCTCGGGCACAGGTGGTGGCTGAGGTGTAGGTTGTGGTTCTTCAACTGCAGGTGGTGCTAGTGAGGGTGGTGCTGGGGTTTGAGGAGCTTGTGGTGACAATATTTCTGGGATTGCTTCTCGAGTTTTTGATGGCACATTCAGAATTTGCAACTGAAGGAAGAAAATGTTACATTTTAGCGACAGAAATCCAAAACTTAGGTGAAAGACTAACATGGGATTGTAAATAAATACTACCTTTAAGTATTGCTCATTAATGCTTCAGTGTAAACACTTATCCAGACATCTTCCCTATCTGTAATCAAGCTTTCTTCCTTTCTAGTTATTAGTCAGTAACAATTCTGCCATAAATTTTACTTGAGACACAATAAGACATCTATCATGATAAAAAAAATTAATAGCAAGGGGTTAATAACCCCTTCTTCTGTATAAATTACTAAATTTAAAATGAAAAACTTTCATTTTAGGTCGCCATGCCTTGGTGGGATACAGCTGGGTTAAAAAAAAAAAAAATCTATAATTCCCTATCCCTTATGTCCTACCATACAAAGGAAATCCACATTTTCTAATCATCCACAGGCATCTTTCCTTCCAAACACACCATCAATTCAAATAATTAATCTTTTCTCGATCTCTCTCCTTATCAAGTCTTAATCCCATCCACCTCTACTTTTTCATAAACACTTTCAACTTTCTAACTGCTTCACTCACTTTCTGCTCGTTACTAATTCTAGTAGATCCCATTCCTTCTCAACCCAAATATAAAATTTTTTTGCTTAGATTTTATCAAGTATATTTAATAAATTCTTCAAATATTCTCTTCTCCCTCTAATTCATCTACTCCGTACTCAGCATCTTACCACCAACAGATAAATCCACTTAATCCATTGGATTTCTCATTTCATGAATCTAAAAAACAGTTTCTAAAAACTGTTACATATCACTTTTTTCTCTTTTACAACAATTTTCATCATTCCACCAATTACTTAGTCTTCCCTCCTGGACATACCTTACTGTTACCACATACCTTTGCTGAACACTTAACACCAATTTTTTAACACACGCGCACACACACGCATGCACGCACATATGCACACGCACACACACGCATGCGCGCGCGCACACACACACAATGCACACATGCACACGCATGCACACACACACACACACACACGACAGTACTACTCAAAGAAGTTAAATTATTGTCATGAATTAAATACAGTAGGGCCCCACTTAAAAGGCAGGTTAGGTTCCAGGCTACTGCCAAAAAGTGGACATTGCTGGAAAGCAGAACATAAATGCATATAAAAAGTTTACACTAACATATATTAAGTTAGCAATAGAACTAGACATTAAAAACAATAAAAAATAAAATACACACAATACACTCATTACTTACCTTAAAATATTTGTAGTCTTAATTTAGGGTGAGAGGTGAGTAAACAAGGTAAAACGAATAAACGAGAGAGAGAGAGAACAAGTAAATGAGAGAGGAGAGAGACACGGAGTATGTAAACAAGGACATGAATGCATCTGGTTATGGTTTATACACATTTATACAAACACCTAAACTTATATTGTGTATAAGTTGTCTCCACTTTGGTACAGTAGAATAATTAAAAAGCAACACTCCCATTCTCATGTAACACCATTTTTAGAAGGAATGACACTCTGAGTGAAGGCATACGAAAGGAACAATTTTCTAGTTACCCCCAGTAATATTATTGTGTACAGATTTTCTTTTGAGTAGAACTAGAGAAAACGTTATTCTTTCCAACACTCCTACAAGACCGGAAAAAATCTCAGTTTTTTATTTTTTATTATCACATCGGCCAATTCCCACCAAGGCAGGGTGGCCGAAAAAGAAAAACTTTCATCATTCACTGTCTTGCCAATGAGGTGCTTTACACTAGTTGTAAAACTGCAACATTAACACCCCTCCTTCAGAGTGCAGACACTGTACTTCCCATCTCCAGGACTCAAGTCCGGCCTACCAGTTTCCCTGAATCCCGTCATGTTCCTTCAGAGAAACCGGCAGGCCAGTTAATTTATTCTACTGTGGGGTGTATTTTTATGTTCAGGTACGTCTTCCTACTTCTACTTACACTCTGGTCACACTACACATACAGGTACACATTTATGTATACACACTCATCTGAGTTTTCTTTCACTTTGTCTTAATAGTTCTTGTTCTTATTGCTTTTCCTTTCATATCCATGGGGAAGTGGAATAAGAATCTTTTCTCCGTGAGCCATGCATGTTTTAAAAGTCAACTAAAATGTCGGGAACAATGGGCTAGTAACCCCTTTTCCCGTATGGCCTACTAAAAAAAAAAAAAGAAGAAAACCTTCAAAGTGGGATGTTTGAATGTCTGTGGATGTTGTGCGAATGATAAGAAAGAGATGATTGTTGATGTTATGAAGGAGTAGAAGCTGGATGTCCTGGCTTAATGTGAAACAAAGCTAAAGGGGTGGGAGAGTTTCAGTGGGGAGAAATAAATGGGATTAGGTCAGGGGTTTCAAATAGAGTTAGAGCTAATAATGTTGAAGGATAAGTTATGGCAGGAAAAGAGGGAATATAAATGTATAAATTAAAGTATTATGTGGAGTAAAATAAGGGTTGGATGTGAAAAGTGGGTTATTGTAAGAGTTTATGCACCTGGAGAAGAAAGAAGTGAAGAGGAGAGACAAAGATTTTGGGAAATGTTGAGTGAGTGCATGGGGAGTTTTGAACCAATGCTAAAGTGGGTAAAAATGTTGTGGAGAGTAAATGAAAATGGGGAGCCTTTAATTGAATTATGTGTGGAAAGAGGTTTGATAATAAGTAATACACATTTTATGAAAAAAAAAAAAAAACGATAAGTATACAAGGTATGATATAGCACATAATGATATTAGTTTGTTAGATTATGTATTGGTGGATAAGAGGTTGATGGGTAGGCTTCAGGATGTACATGTTTAAAGAGGGGCAACTGATATATCAGATCACAATTTAGCTGTAGCTACAGTTAGAGTAAGAGGTAGATGGGACAAAAAACAAAAAATGGCAACAGCAAGAGAGAGGCAAAAGTGAATAACCTAAGGGAGGAGGAAGTTACAGTGAGATATAAGCAACTATTGGCAGAAAGGTGGGCTAGTGCAAGTATTAGTGCAGGGCAAGGGAGGTTGAAGAGGGCTGGGATACTTTTAAAAATGCAGTATTAGAATGTGGGGCAGAAGTCTGTGGTTATAGGAGGGTGGGTGCAGGAGGAAAGAGGAGTGATTGGTGGAATGAAGAAGTAAAGGGTGTGATAAAAAAGAAAAAGGTAGCTTATGAGAGGTTTTTACAAAGCAGAAGAGTTATAAAAAGAGCAGAGTACATGGAGAGTAAAAGAAAGGTGAAGAGAGTGGTGAGTGCAAAAGAAGAGCAAATGATAGAGTGGGAGAGGCAATGTCAAGAAATTTTGATGAAAATAAAAAAAACTGGAGCGAGAAAAAAAGTTAAGAAAGCCTAAGGAACGAATGGATTTGTCAAGTTAAAAACAGAGTAGGGGAGTTAGTAGATGGGGAACTGGAGGTATTGGGTAGATGGCAGGAACATTTTGAGGAACTTTTAAATATCGATGAAGAAAGGGAGGCAGTAATTTCATGCACTGGCCAGGGAGCTATAACATCTTTTAAGAGTGAAGAAGAGCAGGATTTGAATGTGGGGGAGGTGCATGAGGCATTACATAGAATGAAAGGGGGTAGAGCAGCTGGAAATGACAGGATCATGACAGAAATGTTAAAGGCAGGTGAGGATATAGTGTTGGAGTGGTTGGTATTTTTGTTTAATAAATGTATGAAAGAGGGGAAGGTACTTAAGAATTGGCAGAGAGCATGTATAGTTCCTTTACATAAAGAGATTCTAAAAATTAAAAGGGAATAACTTTACAAAGTATACCAGGAAAAGTGCACGTTAGGGTTATTATTGAAAGAATTAGAGGTAAGACAGAGAGTAGGATTGCAGATGAGCAAGGAGGCTTTAGAGTGGGTAGGGGATGTGTAGATCAAGTGTGAACAGTATTTAGATAAAGGTAGGGAAGTTTTCATTGCATTTATGGATTTAGAAAAGGCATATGATAGAGTCGATAGGGGAACAATGTGGCAGATGTTGCAAGTATATGGAATAGGTAATAAATTGCTAAATGCTGTAAAGACTTTTTATGAGGACAGTGAGGCTCAGGCTAGGGTGTGTAGGAGAGAGGGAGATTACTTCCTGGTAAAAGTATGTCTTAGATAGGGATGTGTAGTGTCACCATGGTTGTTTAATATATTTAAGGTGTTGGGGAGAGGGATGGGATTAAATTATGGAAAATTAAATACAAAATAGGAGTTGACACCGTTACTTTTTGCTGATGATACTGTGCTTATGGGAGATTCTAAACAAATGTTGCAAAGGTTAGTGGACGAGTTTGGGAGGGTGTGTAAAGAGGATAATGTCCATGGAATTAACCCTTTCAGGGTTTTCGATGTACTAGTACGGCTTACGCACCAGGGTTATTGACGTACTAGAACGCCTAAATAAAATAGCGCATTCAAATCTAGCGAGAGAAAGCTGGTAGGCCTACATATGAAAGAATAGGTCTATGTGGTCAGTGTGCACAGTATAAAAAAATCCTGCAGCACACAGTGCGTAATGAAAAAAAAAAAAAAACTTTGACCGTATTTTTGGATTAAAACAGCGACTTTGCACTGTATTTTCGTATGCTATTTATGGTTATATTCTAGTTTTCCTGGTCTCATTTTATAGAATGGAAGACATATTACAGAAATTGAGATGATTTTGATTGGTTTCACAATGAAAAGTACCTTGAAATTGAGCTCAAAGTAGCAGAAATGTTCGATTTTTACCAAAGTTCAAAAGTAAACAAATCATGCAAAGCGTCCAATACACGTCAACTGGTGAGTCTAGTATTCTTTCACAAGTGCGCTGATATTATTTATACAATTTCTACACTAATGCAGTAGTCTGCGTAACAGTAAATCTTCTATTTTTTGTGAGAATGAAAATTCAAATTGGAAAGCAAAAGAAATATAAGAGGTCCCTGGGGACGTGACTAACGAACAGAGAACGTGTTATTTTAGTGCCAGGAATATCTGTCTTGTTTATTCTGGACCCTATTTGGAAATTGGCATCTTCTGAAATTTGTGTGAAATTGGCAAAATTGCCAATTCCTAACCACTTTATTGGATAGTTAATTGGTAACTGGGTGATTTCTTGTACTCATTTGATAGAAAAAACGGAGTTCTAGTGAAATAAATATGATTTTTGTCGACTAGTACACAGGAATTGGCTGAAAATAGGGCTCAAAGTGGGCAAAATCACTGATGCATAAACATCGGCGAGGCCGCTAACTTCATGAGAGCATAATTCCATAAGTTTTCCATCAAATTTCATACTTTTGGTGTCATCATGATCGGGAAATGATTCTATCATTTCATATGAAAAAAAAAATTATTTTTCTGAAAAATTTTCGACCCTGAGAACAAGTTTAGGGGAGGGCCTCTCGACCATGAAAGTGTTAAAGCATGAAATCATAGATAAACAAACGAGGTGTGTGGGTTGTGGATTGAAGGGAGAGCGGCGGAAGCTCACTCATAACTTGGACACTGGCTTGTAACTCAGAGCAAAAAATCGACTGAGCGATGGCTCATATTTCAAAAAACTCGTATGTTGGGACACTCATAAGCTGAGGTTCCACTGCATATATGAAACGTGAAATAACTTTAAAACACTTGAAATTTTGGAAAGTTTCCAAACATAATGGAGAGATGCGGTGCTCAAGGAGAATGTAAACAAACTGGGTGGGGCGTGGTGACTGTTTTAGAAACTTAGGTAGGGGGAGCCGTATAGCGAGTTTTAGTCATAATTTGAAATGTCCCTATTAGTGGAACGCTGTGAGACAAAAGTGCTGTAAAGCAGGACCCTACTGTATGCTCTCTGAAGCATCTTATATGAAGTCAATTGTGTGTGAAGGTGACAAAACACAAGTTAAATTAGTAACTTCCTGAGGACTACAATGGTCCTGACATCATCAATATGGAATGTGAAACTTGCAAGGAAAAACAAGATGGGAGCATAACTCATATGACAGAAAACTTGAATTCATTAATGATTGTTATATCTCAAAACAATGTCAACTTTAATCCTACCTCTTCATCCTCTTCTGGATCTGGCTCAGGCTGTTTTCTCTTGGCTTGTCTTGCTCTTGTTTTGGGTGCCCCTGGTGTCTCTGGATCTTCAGCTTCGCGAACCTGAAGACAACGAATTTTGTAATACAAATATAATCATCTCCTCATTTCCATCTTATTGTTTCAGCTCCTCTAAACCTAGAAAATCTTTTAAATGCTATACATATATGTTTTGCATGTACATATACTTTTAAATGTCGATGAAGGGAGGCGGTAATTTCATGCACTGGTCAGGGAGGTACAACATCTTTCAGGAGTGAAGAAGAGATGGATGTGAGTGTGGGGGAGGTGCATGAGGCATTACGTAGAATGAAAGGGGTAAAAGCAGCTGGAATTGACAGGATGACAGAAATGTTAAAAGCAGGGGGGATATAGTGTTGGAGGGGTTGGTATTTTTGTTTAAATGTATGAAAGAGGGGAAGGTACCTAGGGATTGTCAGAGAGCTTGTATAGTTCCTTTATATAAATGGAAGGGGGACAAAAGAGACTGTAAAAACAGAGAAATAAGCTTACTGAGTATACCAGTAAAAGTGTACGGTTGGGTTATTATTGCAAGAATTAGAGGTACGACAGAGAGTAGGGTTTTGAGTGAGCAAGAAGGCTTAAGAGTGGGTAGGGGATGTGTAGGTAAGACACATATGCAACAGTTAGGTATCTTTATTTCGAAACGTTTCGCCTACACAGTAGGCTTCTTCAGTCGAGTACAGAAAAGTTGATAGAAGCAGAAGATACTTGAAGACGATGTAATCAGTCCATCACCCTTAAAGTTTTGAGGGTGATGGACTGATTACATCGTCTTCAAGTATCTTCTGCTTCTATCAACTTTTCTGTACTCGACTGAAGAAGCCTACTGTGTAGGCGAAACGTTTCGAAATAAAGATACCTAACTGTTGCATATGTGTCTTACCTAACAATCTGTCGGTATTTTATACCATTTTAATGTTCAGGGGATGTGTAGATCAAGTGTTAACATTGAAGCATATAAGTGAACAGTATTTAGATAAAGGTAGGGAAGTTTTCATTGCATTTATGGATTTAGAAAAGGCATATGATAGAGTAGATAGGGGAGCCATGTGGCAGATGCTGCACGTATATGGAATAGGTAGTAAGTTTCTAAATGTTGTAAAGAGTTTTTATGAGGATAGCGAGGCTCAGGTTAGGATGTGTAGAATAGAGGGAGATTACTTCCCGGTAAAATTAGGTCTTAGACAGAGATGTGTAATGTCACCATGGTTAATATATTTATAGATGGGGTTGTAAAAGAAGTAATGCTAGGGTGTTGGGGTGAGGGGTAGGATTAAATTATGGGGAATCAAATACAAAATGGGAGTTGACACAGTTACTTTTTGCTGATGATACTGTGCTTATGGGAGAATCTAAAGAAAAGTTGCAAAGGTTAGTGGACGAGTTCGGGAGGGTGTGTAAAGGTTGAAAGTGAATATAGACAAGAGTAAGGTGATGAGGATATCAAACGATTTAGATAAAGAAAAATTGGATACCACATTGGAGAGTGTATTCAGATATTTGGGAGTGGACGTGTCAGCCGATGGGTCTATGAAAGATGAGATGAATCATAGAACTGATGAGGGGAAAAGGGTGAGCGGTGCACTTAGGAGTCTGTGGAGGCAAAGAACTTTGTCCTTGGAGGCAAAGAACTTTGTCAATGGAGGCAAAGAACTTTGTCCTTGCAGGCAAAGAGGGGAATGTATGAGAGTATAGTTTTACCAACGCTCTTATATGGGTGTGAAGCATGGGTGATGAATGTTGCAGCGAGGAGAAGGCTGGAGGCAGTGGAGATGTCATGTCTGAGGGCAATGTGTGGTGTGAATATAATGCAGAGAATTCGTAGTTTGGAAGTTAGGAGGAGGTGCGGGATTATCAAAACTGTTGTCCAGAGGGCTGAGGAAGGGTTGTTGAGGTGGTTTGGTCATGTAGAGAGAATGGAGTGAAACAGAATGACTTCAAGAGTGTATCAGTCTGTAGTGGAAGGAAGGCGGGGTAGGGGTCGGCCTAGGAAAGGTTGGAGGGACGGGGTAAAGGTGGTTTTGTGTGCGAGGGGTTTGGACTTCCAGTGGGCATGCGTGAGTGTGTTTGATAGGAGCGAATGGAGACAAATGGTTTTTAATACTTGACGTGCTGTTGGAGTGTGAGCAAAGTAACATTTATGAAGGGATTCAGGGAAACCGGCAGGCCGGACTTGAGTCCTGGAGATGGGAAGTACAGTGCCTGCACTCTGAAGGAGGGGTGTTAATGTTGCAGTTTAAAAACTGTAGTGTAAAGCACCCTTGTGGCAAGACAGTGATGGAGTAAATGATGGTGAAAGTTTTTCTTTTTCGAGCCACCCTGCCTTGGTGGGAATCGGCCAGTGTGTTAATAAAATAATAAAATTGGAGAGAGGGAGCATGGAAGAAGTGAATGTTTTCAGATACTATTTGGGAGTTGACACGTCAGCAGATGGGTTTTATGAAGGATGAAATTAACTATAGAATTCATGAAGGAAAAAAGGTGAGTGGTGCATTGAGGTATATGTGGAGACAAAAAACATTATCTATGGAGGCAAAGAAGGGAACGTATGAAAGTATAGTGGTACCAACTCTCTTATACGGGTGTGAAGCTTGGGTTGTAAATGCTGCAGCGAAGAGGCAGTTGGAGGCAGTGGAGATGTCCTGTCTAAGGGCAATGTGTGGTGTAAACATTATGCAGAAAATTCGGAGTGTGGAAATTAGGAGAAGGTGCGGAGTATTAGTCAGAGGGCTGAAGAGGTGCTGTTGAGGTGGTTTGGTCATTTAGAGAGAATGGATCAAAGTAGAATAACATGGAGAGCGTATAAATCTGTGAGGGAAGGAAGGCGGGGTAGGGGTTGTCCTCGAAAAGGTTGGAGGCAGGGGGATAAAGGTTTAGTGGGCAAGGAGCTTGGACTTCCAGCAAGCGTGTGTGAGCGTGTTAGATAGGAGTGAATGGAGATGAGTGGTTTTTGGGACCTGAATAGCTGTTGGAGTGTGGGCAGGGTAATATTTAGTGAAGGAATTCAGGAAAACCGGTTATTTTTATATAGCCGGACTTGAGTACTGGAAATGGGAAGTACAACGCCTGCACTTTAAAGGAGAAGTTTGGGATATTGGCAGTTTGGAGGGATATGTTATATATAATTCTAAACTGTTGTATCTGAGCACCTCTGCAAAAACAGTGATTATGTGTGAGTGAGGTGAAAGTGTTAAATGATGATAAAAGTATTTTCTTTTTAGGGATTTTCTTTCATTTTGGGTCACCTTGCCTCGGTGGGAGATGACCGACTTGTTGAAAAAAAAAAAATATGTTTTGCATTAGTTTCTCTATACTGCTTCAACATACTGTACTGAAAATGATACTAAAAGTAATCTTGACATCTAGCTTTCAAGTTATTGTATTAAACATTGCCTAACACTGTAAAAATTGTACATGAAAACATTATTTATTTGGATGGAATTTAATTCAATTATGTCAATGTCAAGTACCATGCTACATTTTTAACCTACCATCATATATATTTATTGTTATATTCATCAGAATTACTTTTATGCTATGCATATTTTTAATGTCTTTTGTGTGTGTGTGTGTGTGTGTGTGTGTGTGTGTGTGTGTGTGTGTGTGTGTGTGTGTGTGTGTGTGTGTGTGTGTGTGTGTGTGTGGTGTGTGTGTGTGTGTGTGTGTGTGTGTGTGTGTGTGTGTGTGTGTGTGTGTGTGTGTGTGTGTGTGTGTGTGTGTGTGTGTGTGTGTGGTGTGTGTGTGTGTGTGTGTGTGTGTGTGTTAGTTATATATGTTGTGTATATATATATATATATATATATATATATAAAATATATATATGTGAGGGGTAGGGGTCGTCCTCGAAAGGGTTGGAAAGAGGGGGTAAAGGAGGTTTTGTGGGCGAGGGGCTTGGACTTCCAGCAAGCGTGCATGAGCGTGTTAGATAGGAGTGAATGGAGACGAATGATACTTGGGACCTGACGATCTGTTGGAGTGTGAGCAGGGTAATATTTAGTGAAGGGATTCAGGGAAACCGGTTATTTTCATATAGTCGGACTTGAGTCCTGGAAATGGGAAGTACAATGCCTGCACTTTAAAGGAGGGGTTTGGGATATTGGCAGTTTGGAGGGATATGTTGTGTATCTTTATACGTATATGCTTCTAAACTGTTGTATTCTGAGCACCTCTGCAAAAGCAGTGATAATGTGCGAGTGTGGTGAAAGTGTTGAATGATGAAAGTATTTTCTTTTTGGGGATTTTTTCTTTCTTTTTTGGGTCACCCTGCCTCGGTGGGAGACGGCCGACTTGTTGAAAAAAATATATATATATATATATATAGCATATATAAAATGTTTACCTTCTATCATGTTCTGTTAAGCTTGGGTTTAGCTTGTCTGAAATGCTATGCATAACTAGGGGCTTTCTACATGTACTATCAAATGCCATTTAATTTTGTTAACTATGAATCATGTGGAAATAAAAGTATTTTTCAAATATTTATTGCATAACTATTTTCGGGTGCCAAAGTATAAGAGGGAATTAGGCAGTTTTGTTGGTATCAGTACTGGTGGTTATCTGTTAATTTTGACAGTATCAGTATCAGCCTAAAATTGATTATCAATAAGCAAAAAAATCTCTATCATCCCATCCCTAAACTATATATACATATATATATATAACACATCATAGGAAACACAGGAAAGAGCAAGGTGATGAGGGGTAACAAACAAGTCAGGTAATGAAAGACTGGACATCAGATTGGGAGGAGGGAGTATGGAGGAAGTGAATGTGTTCAGATATTTGAGAGTGAACTTGTAAGTGGATAGATATATGAAAGACAAGGTAAACCATAGATTTGATGGAAGGAAAAAGGTGGGTGGTGCATTAAGGTATATGTGGAGCAAAACATTACCCATGGAGGCAGAGGGGAATGTACGAGAATATAATGATACCAACAATCACTTATAGGCATGACGAATGGGTTGTAAATGTTGTAGTGAGGAGGCTGGAGGCAGTGGAGATGTTGTGTTGAGGGTGAAGTGCAGTGTAAATATTACACAGAGAATTCATAGCCTGGAGATTAGGAGGAGGTGCAGAGTTATTAAAAGCATTATCCAGAGAGCTAAGAAGGGGCTGTTGATGTGGTTTGGACATTTAGAGGTTGGAGCAAAATAGGATGACTTGGAGGACATATAAATCTGTAGTGGTGGAGGAAAGGCAGGGTAGGGGTCACTCTAGGACAGGTTGGAGAGAGGGGGCAAAAGGGGTTTTGCATGTGAGGGGCTTAGACATCCAGCAGGCATGTGTTAGCATGTTAAATATGAGTGGAAGCAAGAGGTTTTTGGGATATGACAAGCTGTTGGAGTGTGAGCAAGATAACATTTATGAAGGGATTCAGGAGTACAGTGCCTGCACTCTGAAGGTGGGGTGGGAATACCTGCAGTTTTGAACTGCAGTACTGGCATACCTCTGGCAAGACAGTGATGGACTGAGAAATAGTGAAAGTGTTTTTTCTTTTCTTGGGTCACCCTACCTCAGTGGGAGACAATCAATTTGTTAAAAAAAAAAAAACGCAGAAAGGTTAAGATAATTTGGTAATGTAGAAAGACTAAAGCAAGGTAGGTTAATTGGCTGAGAGAGAGTTTATAAGTCTAGAGCAGATAGAAGGTGCTGGAAGCCCAGTTTAGAATTCAAAGGAGGGTGCAAAAGCACATACTAGTAATATACAGGCCATAGAAAATTTATAAGAAAAATTCCAGAAAACTCACCACTTCCAAGCTGAGGTTCTCCAATTCCCTGTCTCCTGCCATTCCAATGTCTTCATTTGGAGCAGGTTCAGATGTTAGATGCCTCTGATACATGCGAGCCAATGACCGAGCATAAATAGGACGACCAGGCAGGGCAAACAACTTCTCTACTCCACCTGTTTCTTTCCAGTGCATAAGACGTTTTGTTGGTGGAGCAAGATCTAATGTTGTTACAATATCTGTGGTGTCTGAAAGCTGAGCCTTCATCTCTTCCCCAGATATATTCTTCACTTCATCCACAATCAACTTCCTCTTCCTTTTAGCACGTGGCCAGCCTGACTTTATTGCTGATGCATCTACTGGGGCTAATGCAAAGCTTTCTTCTTCATTCTGCAATAATGTCGTCTGTTCATGGCCAGCAAGTGTTTCATCATTTGCAGCAGATGGAGCAGCCTCCTGATTTTCTTCTGGAGGAGCATCAGGTTGATCAACTGGGTCTTGAGCTTCTGGTTTAGGGGATGATGGACGAGAGCCATCTGCTGAGCTGGGTGGTCCAACAGATGGGGGCCCACCAAATCTATCCAAGTCTCCAACATCATCATCTGTATCATCATGTCTCTCCTCTTTTGGTTCATCCAGACTTGGGCCATCCCCAATAGGGGTGTCATCAAAGAGACCACCCTCAAATAGTCCACCAGCAATAATATCTTGCCCCAAATTGCCACCAAACCCATCGTCTCTTATTGGAGCCTCTAGGTCTAGTGCAGATGTATCTGCTCTTGCTGTTGATAATCTCGAGTCCTGTTCTTTGACGGCATTAGGTTCCTTCTCCTTGTCAAGGGGTGTATTATCCCCGAAGATAAGATTGGGATGGTCAAGTGTTTGATCCATGGCTGAGGCATCTCTCATTATATCTGGTGGCTCCTCAAATCCCATATCACCAAAGCCATCATCCCCTGTAACTAAGGAGATATTACCATAGTCCTCTCTCATAGTAATCTCCTCTGCTCTCGATTGGTTCAGAGTAAATTGTGCCTGTATGTCCACATCATTTAGTTCAGGCATAGCTGTATCAAAATCATGAAATACTTCAGGTAAAGTAATAGCACTGACAGCTGCTTCTCTGATGTCTTCAGGAAGATCCACCATTCCAGGCCTGAAGGCCATTTTAATCTTTACAAAGGCCTCATTACAATCAGCTAACAAATATTTGGCTTTCCGGGAGTAAATACGCACCACGCCCAGCAATAAATGTCCAGAGGTGCGCAACGCCATTTTCACCTGTACCATTGAACAATTAAGTGAGCACAATATGCTATAAATTACAGTAATTAGGTTTTATAAGAACACTAACAGAGTTATCTTCAATAAAAAATAAACAAAGAACATTTTATAAACAAAAAATAAATTTTTAAAAATTTATGCAATTATCTATAACATTTTTTTATGAGATACAGCATACGTATATAAATACAATTACAGGTGCTCCTCGACTTACGATGGGGTTACATTCTGATGACCCCATCAGAAGTTGAAAATGTCATATGTATGAATACATGAGAAGTAAATAGGTAAATAACTACTGTCACTGAATAAATAAACAAATAATTATCTATATCAATAACATTTTTATATAAGATACAGTAGTATATAATGATGAAATCTTGCATGCAGATTAAGCAATTGAAGGGAACCTGGGTATGAAGCAGAATGCTCCTGTCTCTTGCAACTGGAATAACTATGACAATTCTATATGCAATGGAAAACAAGCAACATGTGTACAGATGTATTGTATAGTGTACAGAGGCTGTGAAAGTTATATATTTTGCCAAATCAACCTATTATTATTTGTAGTGATTATTTACCTAGTTTACTTTGGCAAACCCCCCTAAAAAATATACAAGTCCAATATCTAGATTTTTATGCCAAGAAAAAAATTTGTGAGACCTCAAAAGTTCCTAGTTACCGAAATTTTTAACCCCTTGGGGGCTGTGCCGTAGATTACGGCTTTCTTTGAGGCTAAAAAAAATCTACGCATGAGCTCAGCTATCGATAACCCGTGGGTAAATTTGGCCCTAGATATGAGAGAATACCTATGTGGTTGTGTCCCAATAAAACAAATCCTGCAGACATAGTGCAAAAATGAAGAAAACATGATACCGAAATTTTTTCGATTCAACAGGTTTTAGCGTGTTTTTTCATATTTTTTTTTTATAGTTTATTTGCATTTCTTGGTCTCATTTGATGGGAAAAAACATTAACAAAAAAATAAGATGATTTTGAGGGGTTTTAGTATGGAAATGGTTAAAAAGAGAAATTTGGGAAAATGTTAAATTTTTCCCAATGTTCAAGGGGGTAAACAAAAGCCCCTCCCCCCATCTTACAGTGTTTGTTGGGTTAATATGCGTTCACAAAGTGCTGATTTTATTTATAAAATTTATTACAATTTGCAAAACAGTAAATCTTCTTTTTTTTGGTTTGAATAAAAATTCATTATGAAAAAAAAAATCAAAATGGAATTATTAGTAAACCCAAAAAACGTAACTAATAAACAGAGGAAATTTTAGTTTAATCCCCAGGAATGCCTGCTTGTTTTTTCTGGACCTATTTTGAAATTGGAAAAACATTGGACCCCCGTTAAACGATCACCCCCCAATGTGACCAATTTGTAAGTGTTTTTATGTAAGTGGTTTTATGTGTTTTTTGGGGGGTCTAAAATGTACTAATCTACTTCACAATATTCCTTATGGGAACAAATTCGGTCAGTTGGCACCTGAACATACTTCGGGAATGAAAAAATAGTTAAGGGGGGGCCCACTGTATTTTAAAACTTTGCTTTAAATTGGCCGTTTACCAATTCAAATCATTTTTTTTTGTAGTTGAAACAGTTGATTTGGCAAAATTCTTTTGCCAATCATAGAATGGAGTAATACTAGTGGAATAGCTAAGAATTTGGTCAACAATAATGTAATTGGCCAAAAATGGGAGTAAAAAGTCCGCAAAATAGCCGATGCGTAAATACGCTGACCATCAAAATTCGTGAGCATAATTTTTCATTTTTCATCAAATTTCTTACTTTTTTTTTTATTTTCCTTCAGAAAAAGTTCTCTACCATTTTTAAGAAAAATAACAAATTATTTTTTGAAATTTTGGAAACTGGTTGCACCTTTTGAAAATTTTGGGTCTGGGGCCCCGAAAGGGTTAAAAAATACACTAATGAAACTTTTAAATAGGTCTATACCCTAAAAATAATGCTTTAAAAATCCAAAATTTTTTTTGTAATTGCAAATATATTGCGTTTAAATTTTCCATTCTAGCCCCTTTTTTGAGCTTAAATATAATGAGAGGGCCTCTAACTGTATTTTTTACAAACTGGGGACTCAATTCATAAAAAAGAAACCCAAAGGGGCAAAAAGTGAAGACCACCACTTTATAAAATTCTATTTTTTTAGAGTCTTTTTAAAAGAACCCTTCTATGCACCATTAATGCCTAAAATTTTTTTTTAAATAGTGCTAATAAAAAAAAGAGAGCACTAGATAAATTTCATTTTTTTGGGGGAAAAAAAATTTTTAATGACCTTTCACAAATATAATCTACAACATTGCCTTGGGTTGAAGGGTACCACCCCAGATTTTTCAAGTTTGTCTCAAAAAAATGGGGGTTTTTAAGCTTCTTATCCCAGTGGCAGCTACCAAATTCGGGCCAGGGACCCTTTTTGGCCAGCACAAAGTGTGCATAAAACATCTTGTGTTACTCCTGAAATTAAATGCAGTATACAAACAAATTTGTAAAACATTCAAACACTATACAGCCTTCCCTCACTTAACGACAGAGTTCCATTTCTAAGACCAAGTTGCTAAACATTTGTCACTTAGTGAGGAGCATACTATAATGGCAGTGAGGTTAAGTCAACCATCTTTGATATTGTTTTTATGTCACCTTTGCACCATTCATAACATTTCTGGTATATTTTTAAACGTTTATACAGTAGTGTACTGTATATATTGTAATAAACAGAAAAGAGGAAATCAATTCTAATATACATTATTTAGGTGTGCATACTGGTCAGAGAGCACATCATCAGTCAGTCCAAGTCGTTGGTAAATGAGTATGTCGCTAAGTGAGGAAAGGCTGTATTCTAAAACCTAACATTGCCACTTAATATTGCATAAAATTACTCTTAAATTGTATAAACTGTCAGGAAAGGCACAAAAGAAGTTTCAGTAAGAACACTGATCATATATGCATCTGAATATTTCATGTCAGTCCATAGTTCCTCATGTACATATGTAATATGTAATAACTGAGAACTGGTTTAATTTGAAATCAGGAATAAATTACTTTATTCCTTAGCTAAAGAAAGGGGTGGAAATACAGAATGTCAGAAAAACTTACAACTGCTCCATAAAAAAATATGAAGACTGAAGGAAAACACATTATGTTTGGTTGCAGAATTTCACAGGACATGAAAGACAAATCTCAAGTTTACAGCATTTCACAGATTCCCAAACTAAATAACCAAAGCACAGTAAGTGTGATGGCTAACGGTACCTTACCACCTGATCAAAACAATGTTAATTATCACAGCCTTAACGTTTTAATTGTCCGCTCCGTAGTGCTACAGGTTTGAGGTCACTGTCGGTGCCGTAGGACTACGCCATGAGCTCAGCTCATTCAGGTAAGCTGTTAGTGGTAAATTTGGGCCTAGATACGAGAGAATGGGTCTATGCGATAAGTGTGCACCATGTAAAATAATTGTGCAGCATGCAGTGCATGAGACAACAAACTGCAACAGTGTTTTTGGTAAACAAACCATACCACAGGTGGGGTTAGAACCCGCAATCAGAGAGTCTCAAAACTCCAGACCATCACGTTAGCCACTGGGCCAGCTAGCCGCAATAAGATTCATCCAACTAGGTATATTTATGCACCATAGGAAGGTTAGTATAGGCACCACTGTGACCACAAATGCAATTTTTACAGACAAATCTCCAGCTAGTGTGGCTAGCTGACCCAGTGGCTAACGCGACGGTTTGGAGTTTTGAGACTCTGATCGCAGGTTCTAACCCTGCCAGTGGCATGATTTGTTTGCAATTGTGTCATTACGATTTCATGAGTCGTGTTTTTGGTTTAAAACAGCGACTTTGCAGTGTATTTTCATATAGTTGTCTTGGTTGTATTCTCAATTTCTTTATCTCAGTTGACAGAATGAAAGATACTGTATATTACACAAATACAGAAGATTTTGAATGGTTTCAGGACTGAAACTAGGTTGAAATCGAGCTCAAAGTAGCAGAAATGCTCAATTCTGCCAATACAATTTAACCCTTTCAGGGTCCGTGCCGTAGATCTATGACTTTACGTTGAGGGTCCAAACCGTAGATCTACACCATGAGCTCAGCTCACTCTGATAAGCTGTGAGTGGTAAATTTGGGCCTAGATGAGAGAATACATCTCTGTGGTATATGTGCACCACATAAAACAAATCCTGCAGCTCACAGTGCATAATGAGAGAAAAAAAAATGAGACCATAATTTTCGATTAAAACAAGAACTTTGCAGTGTTTTTTCGTATGTTTTTTATAGTGGTATGTATTTGCAATTTCTTGGTCTCATTTGATAGAATGGAATATATATTACAGAAATAGAGATGATTTTGATTGGTTTTAGTACTGAAAATGTCCTGAAACTGAGCTCAAAGTAGCGGAAATGTTAAATTTTTGCCCATGTTCAAGAGTAAACAAATGACCTCACACGTCTAATACATACCAGCTGGTGGGTCTAATATACGTTCACAAATGTGCTGATATTATTTATACAATTATTACAATATTGCATGACAGTAAATCTTCTATGTTTTGGTTTGAATAAAAATTCATTATGTGAATTAAAAATTTAAGAATTAAAGATATAAGAATAACTTCTTCAATGTTAATACTGTACAGTGGACCCCCGGTTCGCGATGCTATTGGTATCCGATAAATCCGGTAACCGATGCATTATATCGCAGAAAATTTGCCTCGCTTACAGATACAAAACCCGGCATGCGATGTGGTTCGTACGAGACGTGTCCATGTGTGGCCTGAACTGCCCCGTGTGTGCCAGTGTTTACAAGCTAGCCAGTGTGCCTGCATCGTGCATACATTCAGTACATTCCATATTATCCATATT